AAACTGCATTTCTTACCCTTTATCATCAATCGTCGGTTTAAAACACACTAGTTGATGGATTTGGTCTAGATGTTACTGTCGACCAAATAGGATAAAGAACAACATAGTTCATTAAATTTCAAATATTTTTCTAGATCCACATTGACAAGCATAAACGAGCGAGAGCTGTCGAGTTTGACCGTCTGAAGATGACTTATATAGTGAAAGCAAGGAAAGAGATCATCGTATCATCGGGATCTATCAACAGTCCCCAGTTGCTCATGTTGTCAGGCATAGGACCCAGGCATCATCTGGAAGAAATGGGCGTAAGTAGTCCCATTGCTTCTGTCTTTTATTTGCAATTAAGAATTACTAATAGGAATGTCAATAAAAAATATCTTTACTGTGATATTTTTATGGGAATTTTATTATGATATTCATTTTGATAAAATATAGCAGGAATTTTTGTCATCTAACGATAATAATAAATAAGGATAATTAAAAAACAGTTTTTTTAAACATTTAATAGATAACATTTAAAAAATAGGAGTATTTTCTTAGTGCTAAAATAGAGTACACGGATAGTGTACAGAGATAGATTACATACAACAAATTTCTGCTAGATGAATTATGGAATCATCAATAGAAATATTGAACTATACATAATAAAAAAATACTGTAAAACATTTATTTCGAAAAAAACTCATTACAATCTTCAGTAATTTTTGTGACAATAAATTATTCTCAATAGAAGCATCAAATCATTACTAAATATAGCTTTAACTAGTGATTATTTTTTATGGAACATTACCATCGAATCATCTTAACTATACACATCGAAAAATAGTTTAAAACACTTATTTCGAATAAAATTCATTCAATCTTCAGTAATTTTTAATTACAATAAATTATTCTCAATAGAAGCATCAAATAATTATTAAACTCTTTCACTGGTGATTATTTTTTAATTATCATCGACAAACATTATGACAAAAACAAACCATGAATAAAAAGTATTCCTATTGTCTTCCGATTTAGATAACATTTTAACCTGCGCATCTTCAACAAGAAAGGGATATTTTTTATCGCCATGAAAAATAAATATTTTAAAAACAGCATCCGGGTTGAGCGACGAGAGTACAATATCACACAAATAGAAACATGACCTTTTATAAACTGTGTATTGTACCATCAAGCATAACTGGGAAATTCGATGTGTGGGGTTAATGCTTATAGGAAAGTAATGTTCACGCTATATCGCGTGGTCTGAAAAAAGTATGTTTTTTGAATACAGCACTAATTTTCAGGAAACTTTTTTGTTATGTGGGAATAAACAGCAAAATTTTGGCCTTAAAAAACAGAAATTCTAATTATGTATGTCACTAAAATAGAACTGCGTTTGTTTTTGTTCTTAGTAATTTTTAAATTATATATAATTTATATGAGTTTAAATGCCAATAAAAATCATGTTATTTTAAATTACGTTTGCAAAGAAGCGCTATATTTCTGTAAAGAAAATAGATCAGGATCATTAATATTTGTTAAGTATCGATAATAGCGTAATTTATGAAATTCGATTTACATTTTTTTTTAAATTTACGATATATTATATAATTCTAGAATATGAAACCAATTCAAATACCAATCATCAAAAAATGAATAGAAATGTAATTTACGCCTTACTTTTTACTGAAATGCGATGTCAATACAAGCAAAAACTAAAACCAAAAAAATAATAATAATAAAATAAAAGAGGTATGCTTTTATTAATTACAAAACTCCAATATAATTCAAGGCAAATCATTAGCAAACTATATACGAAAAGTCTATGAGAACTGAATCTTTTTTTCTGTTTCTTTATTCTGTCTTCCCTATACAATAATATAAAGAATAGTACGTAAAACTTAAATTAAAAATTTTAATTTCGTAAAATTTAAAATATAGAAATATATTTTTTTCTTAAAAAAAAAAAAAAAAAATCACTAATAAAATTTGTACACGTTACTTTTAAATTAAATGAAAAATATTTTTAGTATTAACGAACGACTAGCGCCATTTGGTGGCATGATAATTGAAGTTTATGTAGTTGTATTCTTTTTTATTATTCTTTTTTTTTTTTTTTCCTGTATTTTTTAGAAATATTTCTATATTTTTTTTTTTTTATTTTATTATCATTTTTTTATTATAAAAATTTAACATTTATATTTTTACATTCTAAATTCTATTTAAAAATAGCTATTCAAATTCCTCTACGATTTAAACTATCACTTTTAATCGTAATTCATTTTTTACCAAACGATAATTTTTAATCGTAATTCATTTTAACCAAGCGATAATTTTAATCATAATTCATTTTTACATTTTTAATCATATCATTTTTAATCAAACGATAATTCATTTTTTTAACCAAACAATCAGTTTTAATCGATCAATAATCATCATTTTTTAACCAAACGATCAGTTTTAATCGTAATTCATTTTTACCGAACGATCATTTTTAATCATAATTCATTTTTTTTTTATCAAACGATAATTTTTAATCATAATTCATTTTTACCGAACGATCATTTTAATCATAATTCATTTTTTTTAACCAAACGATCATTTTTTTATCGTCATTTTTAATTCATTTTTACCAAAACGATAATTTTTAATCGTAATTTCATTTTTTACCAAACGATCATTTTTATCGTAATTCATTTTTACCAAACGATAATTTTTAATCGTAATTCATTTTTTACCAAACGATCATTTTGTATTTAGATTTTCTCTAGATTCCTTTTCACTTTTGAAAAATATTTTTTCTAATATTTATCAAAATTAAAAATAATTTATTTTCTGTTGTTCGATAATGGAAGGTGATATCTGCTAGTAAATATTAAACCCTTCATCATCCAATCCTACAAAAAAATATTTCACTATTTTGCCTTGAAATCAAATATCACTACATTCTAGTTTGTATTTCAGAATATTTTTCCTGTACTACTGTATTTTTTTTTTTTTAGGTGATTTTTTACAATTTTAGAATCTTAATTTTTAGTTGGAGTTTATTTCAATTGTGTATATGATAAATAAAAATATTGTGAACAAATTTTGGTTTTTGTTTTAGATACCCGTTGTTGCCGATCTTCCTGTGGGCTACAATTTGCAGGATCATATATTTCCAGGCGGAGTTCACTATTTAGTCGATGAGCCAGTTGCCATTGTTCAGCCCAGAGTGTTCACCTTTAAAGAAATTATCAGATATCTGTCTGTGGGTCGAGGTAGATATTTTTTATGAGATTTTTAATACTAATAAAAAAAAAAAACTTCCGATAAAAAGAAACTATGAAATTTTTTTTTAAATAATCATATTTTTTATAATAAAAAAAAGTTAAATATACTGGAGACTAATAAAAGCCGTGATAAAGGAAGATTTACATTTTAAAATTAATTTCTTATTGTATCTATGTTGCAATTTATTTATAAACGACGACGATTTGCCAGATTGACGGAGAACCTTGGTTGCAGCAACCTCAATCTCCTGCTTTGTGAACGAGGGAAGTTTCTTAAGCTTTATGCCCATTGATTAGATAGAAAAAAAAAAAAAGTAATATAAGTATATTATTAATTTATTTAAAAATTAATTATTCGAATTTTTTATTAATTAATAAAAAAAAATTATGCATATATAATTTTTTTATATTATTATTATAATTTAAAGATTAATTTTATTTATTTATTTATTTATAAAATGGACCAACTTTCTTTTTCTTCATTGGCGTAACAACCCTATAGTGGTGAAAAGCACTCTGCCTACTGGCAAATTTCGAGGATGTTTCCTTTTTTACGGTGGTAGAGTTGTCAGCCCTACATCCAACTTTCTACAGTCATATTATACGGGGAAGGGGGAGGGCTACGCTTATGTAAAGTGAATTCCGAGCACCACAATCATTTATCGCACCGCCGGGACTTGAACACGAAACCTGTTGCACCGAGCGCTAAATGTTTGATTGATTTGATTTGCGCTCTGTTGTCATTTATGCACACGAGGGTTAATTATATAGGGGATCTACAGTTTAAAGTGTATTCCGAACCACTCACAGACATCCATGCCACCGCCAGGATACGAACTTGAAACCTGTGATATCAAAGGCCATCGAACCACTGAGTGCCACTGGACCAACTTTACAGTAGTTAATTATTTTTCATTTTTAAAAGTAAAGATAGAAAATTCTTGAATCGTTCCAAAGCTATTGAATGAAATTATAACAGACTTTACATACATTATTGTTCATCCTTTTTTAGATTGAATTTTTACCACAATATTTAAATATAAATGAACATTAATTTCAAAGGAGTAATTTAACTTCCAAAACAGAAAATAAATTCGCCTCGGCTGTACAACTTACGTAAACATAGATACCTTCAAAGAAAAAATTATTAACCAACATTATCTGTATTATATTTCTCCAGAATTTCATGGAGTTATTTCTTTTTCTCATCAGGTCCTCTAACAGTATTGGGAGGTGTTGAAGGACTCGGTTTTATCAACACCAAATACGCTAATAAATCAGAAGATTATCCGGATGTGGAAATTCATTTCTTGTCAGGATCTCCGGCTTCCGACGGCGGCCAGACGTTTCAGAGGGTCCATGGACAAAGCCGAGAGGTAAGTTTGTGCTATAATATATATATATATATGTTGTTGTTTCTGTTGTTTCTTATCCCACTTGGCTGGCCAAGCCCACGAGCCCATACGTACTCATGATTGAAGGGGAAGGAAGCAGCTTCTGTTTTGATGGAGCACCCCGTAGGTAGAAGTCTGACCGTGATGCTCTTACAGTCCTCTGTCTTACAGTCCTCTGACCGTGGCTCCGTGATGCTCTTACAGTCATAGGAGACCGGGACCTACAGCTTAAAGTGGATTCCGAACCACTACAAACATCCATGGCACCGCCGGGATTCGAACCCGAAACCTGTGGCACCGAGCGCCAGAGTGCTAGACACTCGGCCATTCAGGTCCCAAATTTGTGAATGCCAACGGCACGCGGTGTTCCCAGATGGTCACTCACCCAAGTACTGACTGCGCCCACTGATGCTTGACTTTGGTGATCTAACGAGAACCGGTATATTCAGCATGGTATAGCCGTTGACTAATAATAAATATATATATATACATACAGCTCTAATTACATAAAAAAGAAAAATAAAGAAAATTTGATACACAAGTGCAGTTCACTCCAGATTTTTAGAGTTCTCGAGTCTATGTCGAATCCCAAAACACGTGGTCTGTAGCAGACTTTAATTATAACACACAGCGAAACTACAAGGAGCTCACTTTGGAAACAAGCGGAAGCTCCAGCCTGTTCTGCCACTTCAGAGAAAAAGAACACTCTTTGTCGACTCGTCGCGAAACTCCCTCCTTTCTTCTCCAAAAACCTCCTTTAAGAGAATTCGTCAAGAAGGAAGGGGTCAACTTCCCTCACTTCTCATTGGAGTGGACATTTTCTCAGTCCATGGCCTATCACCAATGGCGATGCAACAACTCATGGGGTAATCCATATTCCATCTGTAATTGTTTTGATATGTGAAGGTCACACAAACAATCGCTAATTTCATGAGATCTCATTATGCATATACACTGAATATCTGCTTTTAGATTTCAATAACAGGTTGTTCTCATTAGTACAAAACACAAATTTCATGTAATATAACTACCCACAACACTGTTTATCTGCTATCAAATTTGAGTGATAGATTGTTGTTATGTCAATGAATATAAATTCTTCTCTCCTGTAAATGAAATTCTACAACTCTTCCAGTAGGAAAAATGCTACAATACATACATATATATATATATATACCATTTTTTCCTGTCCACAACATCATATAATCCATGGGGAATTCACGGCTATTCTTTAGCGTGCCAAATACCAATCAAATTATGTTTTTATACCCAAAGCATAAGACTAAAAATAAATTAATTAAAAATTAAAAAATACTTTGAATTTGGAAACTTAAAAATTATTTTCAGGAATTTAAAATAACAAATCAGGCTATAAATTAAATAACGACGAAAATTTTAGGATATTTTATAAATTTATTTTGAAATTAAAATCCTTTATGATTCTAGCAGAATCAAAACAAGTAGATCATTAATAATTTCAAAATATTTTCATTGTATGAAGTAAACTATAAATTTTATTAAAAATAATGATGGATTCTAACACAGATAAAAAAAAATTTCTTTTTCTAATTTATATTACCCCAGTCAAAGGAAAATATGAAATCAGCAGATAGTAATACAAATCTTCGTACAATAAAGTTTACCGAATGTTTCTTAAATAATCTTTATTAGGTATTAAAAGAGAATGGATTGAATTATCTAATAAATTGCTGTAATATTACATTAATTCTGAATATTTTCCAGATGTGGGAGAAAGTATACAAGCCATACGCCTACAGAGATGCTTATACATTCTGTCCTGTCTTATTGAGACCGAAAAGCAGAGGCTACTTGAAACTGAGGTCGCCAGATCCTTATGATCCGCCTTTGATTGATCCGAGGTATCTTACTCATCCTCAGGACGTGCTCACCATGGTCGACTGTGAGTATATCATCTTTTATCATTTGGTTCCCATGCATACTTAATTTCCTACTTCATTCAAAATAATAATGATGTTATTGAATACAATGAGCTGCTATGCAATCCATTGTCTGCCATTTTTTCATCATCTACCTAGTACCTCATTTAGTAGTTATTATTATAGGTTTATGCAAAAGTTAAATAACTGTCAATTTAACACTGTTGACAAGAATCAGCGACCAGTTGATGAAACAAAAATTAACGATTACTTTTAACGTTTATCACAGCCTCGACTCTAGGAGAAATTATGAGTAGTACAAATTTTAACGCCGATTGATTCGAATAGAAAGGATAATATATAAATAATAATAACTGCTAATATAAAAATATTAACAGTTAATTTTATTGCCTCTTAAAAAATCATTTCTTTGACAGGAAAAGGATTGTTTTAATTTCTAAAATATATGATAGGCTGCGATAATATCGTATATATATATACATATATATTCTTCTTTTTCATTGATGCAAACAGCCCCATGGTGGGCCAAGACCTTCTGCATACAGGAAACTTTGGAGACTTCCTTCTGGATTGTTCTGGTGACTTTGGGCCACTCTTGAAATTTCAGATTCAGTATTGTTATGCCATAGGATCACTGCTTTTCTGTTTATCAACTAAGACTTTTTCGTGCAAAATGCTTTTAAGCATCTTGACATCAGTTAAATCAGCGGTTATTCTTTGATAGTCATCCTATCAATCGTAATTAACATCCTACCTTCACTCAAAAAATTCTTTGGGTGCAGATTGCTCCGAGGCTGGATAGACCTTAAATTATGGCTAAGATACTGTCTTTCGTGCTCAATATTATTGTAGAAGCTTCCTTGATTTGTCATAGGTAGGTATAGGTTGAATCTGTGTTATCGTGTCTTATAATTATCCTTCAAATAAACTGATAGAATTTTCGTTAGAATTTTATACTTTATTTTACATTTTTTTTTCTTATGTGTTTTTTTTTTATTATTATTTAATTAATAGTAAATACCATCTGCTTTCTTCCAGCTATGAAAATCTGCATGGCTTTTGGTGAATCTGCGGCTTTTAAGAAATTTGGCGGTCGGGCATATAGCACGACTTTTCCCGGGTGTGAGATTTACGTGAAGAACAGCGACGAATACCTGGCGTGTGTGGCACGAACCTACACATCCACCATCTACCATCCTGTGGGCACCTGCAAAATGGGAGCCCATGACGATCCCACTGCAGTGGTAGACCCACAGCTCAGGTACATGTCTTATATCTCATGGCTTTTTATTTTATTTTTTATCCATTTATTTCCCAAAGATGAACCACTGTTTCTTTCTCACTGATTCATGAATGAAGATTCTTTAAGTTTAATTTGTAAACCTAATATATGGATAGTGCAGGTTAGGGCAGAATATGGGTATATTCGCCGTTGAAGATGTAATGGTGTTAGTTAAATTCCACCTAATCTGCAGCTTTGAAACTTTCACGAAAGTAGAACTTTTAGCTTTCGAAAAATGGTGAATATGATTATGGAAATATTAGAATTGAGAGGAGATGTTGATATAAACATATCATTTATTTTATGCAAAGCAATAGCTACAACGCAAAGCCTACAACTAACCAACTTGTAATTTTTAAACGATGGAACACTCTACAGTTGCCGCATATTTCGAGCAAATTTTATTTAAACATTTATCTTTTCTCTCCCCGCACGCTGTTCATTATATAGTTCTCGTGCGAATTCATGGTGGATCCAAATTATTTAAATATTTCTCCTCTCTACGTGTGGTCTCCATCCTCTCCTCACCTATAAGTATAGGTGAGGGAGGGATGGAGAACCGGTATGGGCCTATGCAGCCAAACATAATACTAAAATCTCGGAAGCTTAACAAAATATGTCCATTAGACGAATAACGAATTCCAATTGTTTCATGAGAAATGAACATATTCAAAGATCCATCTCCCTGCTACCTCTCAAAAAATACTGGAAAAAATTTTCAGAAATATTCTTCAATAATATTGGCAACCACCAACTTCTAGCCATTCAAGAGATCGAACACTATGAACTTCACTCTAATTTTAAAAGACCTAGGAATATTCTGCTCTAACCTACCTAAATTCAATTTTAAAACATGTTTTATACTTTTTTTTTAATTATCATCGGCTCCCTTTTTAACTTTTGGGCATTGCCAATGTTTCCATTATTTTATGTTTCCCAACACCGGAGATGAGGCCCGTGACGTAGTCAGTGAGCTCCAATAATTTTCAACATCTCTCTCACGTGGGGTCCGCTATATAGTTCTTGTGAAAATGCATGGTGGATTCTTACTTGGATAATAAGTGATTCTTATGAAAATATAGGCTCTTGTTTATAATAATTTTGTTTATGTAATTGCATTAATAAGTATTAGTTAGTTTATACTATTATTTTTTTTATTTATATTCACTAGTTCTGTATTTTTAATTTCAACTAGCAGATATGACCTTAATGCCACCAGATGGTGCTCAAAATAAATTTAAATTAACCAATAGAAATTAATTTCATTAAAAAATAACAACAGCAATTATTTTGTGATTCTTGATTACACACCAGAAAATAAAAACTTGATGTCTAGATTTTTAAGTTGTCTTAATATACATCCATTTTTAAATTTCAGATTGGTTAGTGAAATACAATATTTTGATTGCTAGATTGTAAGAATATTTGTAATAGAGATATTTGAATAAGAAATATTTCCTTGTTGAAAACATTGTTCTTTTACGTAAAGCATTATACAAGTACTTTTACTATATAATGAGTTTTGACAGGAAAAAAAATCTTAAAATAGGTTTATTATACGCTCTTATCTTTTGCTCTTTAAAAAAGCAAAAAGTACTGTTATGTAAATTTTTGGTAATCTCTAAATATTTACATTTTTTTCTTTTTAGGGTTAAAGGAATTCATGGCCTCCGTGTTGTAGACGGTTCCATCATGCCGAACATTATTAGTGGCAACACCAATGCCCCCATCATCATGATAGCCGAAAAAGCTGCTGACATGATCAAAGGCGTAAGGACGGTTATCCGACGAAAAGATAAAAAGAAAAAGAAAAGGCGGTGATCGCCTTTTACATAATAGCAAAAATTTCCATCATGTTTTGTATTATCATAAGTATCCAGAATATAATGTGTTCTTTAATTTCATGATAATAGTCCATCATTTGTGTGTTAAAGTCCCAAGAAGTTTATGTGACGCAAGTAAGAAGGACTTGTAAGCGAACACTTTGAAATGGACTGACTGCTTAAAGAAACGAAAGCATGGTGTCAATGAAAGTAATATAAGACTCAAGGTAAAATACGGGTTCATCAACGCAAAACGTATTTCAGGAATACTGTGATTGAAGATTCTAACTATGCTAGTGCAATCGTCCAGTATTTGGTTTTCGAATCTTTGAAATTCAATGTTTTTATATTATTATTATTATTTTGAAGTCAACAGAAAATATTGAATTTACAAAGAAATGATAACAAATTTATATGTGTACTTTAGATTATTGTGAAAG